AAAAAAAAACCATGGGGCTTAGGTTGGGCACAGTCGCTCACGTCTGTAATCCTAGCACATTGGGAGGCCAAGGTGGGAGGTTCGCTTGAGGCTAAGAGTTCGAGACCAGCCTGGGTAACATAGCAAATTGAGACCCATCTCTACAAAAAAAATTTTTTTTAATTAGCCCGGTATGGTGGCGCATACCTGTAGTCACAGCTACTCAGGAGGCTGAGGCGGGAGCATCGCTTGAGCCCAGGAGTTGGAGGTTGTGATGAGCTATGATCACATCACTGCACTCAAGCCTGGGCAACAGAGCAAGAGTCCCTGTCTCTAAAAACAAACAAGCAAACGAAAACCCCAGGGGCTTATTGGAGCACGGGATAAGTAAGTGGCACAACACTGAAAAACCTTGTCAGTAATGCGTAAAACCAAAGATAAAAACCTAAGAAAGACAGAGCACGGTTTTACACGTGTTTCGTGGTTAAGAAACAAATACTTGAGGTTTGCTGGTGGAAGTGGGCATTGGAAGGGGGCAGCTTGTGAGTTATTGTGACATGGTGGAAGCAAGGCTGTCTAAAACCGGAAGGGAAGGGGTACTGCCAGGCTGGCCAGGTGGGTGAGCCCCTAACACGCAGCGAAGCTGATGGCTGTCGCGGGGGTGCAAGCGTGTGCTGTTGTGTATTCCTACTTGGCTCTGCTCATCTGGGTGTGGTTTTCTGTGTTTGCCTAGTGTTGTCACTGACAAAATTGCTCATAAGCAACCGTGAAATTTGTGTGATGCTTGAATTGTTTCCTAATATATCAATCTTGTTGGAACAAATTAACAATTTCAAAGCAAGCATTATAACAGAACTGACTATAATGGTTTCACTATTTAATTTATCACAGGGGAGATAAACTGGGGGCCTCTTTAGGAGACTCCAGGAGAAAAACCTTCAGGTCTGTGCTTGACCTGGGTAGCTGGCTTGCCTTTATCTTGTGGATGTAGTGGCAAAGTTTCCCTCTTAGCTCTGACCACCAGGAAGCTCAGAGCCAGATATATGGCCCATCCTTCCACCTTGTGGAACACTTTTCCTGCACTTATCTCACATGGTCTTTTTTTCTTACCTGTACTTTTCCTCCACTAGTTTCCTTATCCTATCCTACTTTATGTTTTTGCCTTGTTATATGTGTCGAAAAGCCACCTCAAATCCTTTCTTTTAAATCAGGTGGGAATATATGTCAATTAGCATTGAACAACTCAAGGTAGAAAGGACTTTAGGAAACTTAAAGACAGCCTGGTCCAAGCACTCATAAGATGCTTGAGGCCTCTCTTCAGTCTGCCGGCCAAGTGTCCCTTAGCCTCTATTTTTTGTTTGTTTGTTTGTTTGTTTTGAGACAAGGTCTTGTTCTGTCACCCTGGATAGAGTACAGTGGCATCATCATCATAGCTCACTGCAGCCTTGAACTCCTGGGCTCAAGCAATCCTCCTGCTTCAGCCTCCCTAGTAGCTGGAACGACAGGCACTTGTCACCACGCCTGGCTAATTTTTCTATGTTTTGTAGAGACAGGATCTTGCTCTTGCTCAGGCTGGCCTCAAAGTCCTGGCCTCTAGGGATCCTCTTGCGTCAGCCTCCCAAAGTGCTAGGATTACAGGCGTGAGCCACTGTGCCAGGCTGCAGATCTTAAGACTGCCAAGAACTTTTCAGCTGGCTACACCCTGGTACATATTTATCCATCCTTCCCTGGTATTGGGGTGCAGGAACCCTACTGTCCGGTCTGAGAGGCCCTGCATGGGTGGATGCTCAGCTCTGTGCTTGGAGTGTTCCAAAGAGCCCAGCAATCTCGTGAGAATGTTCTCGTTTGTTTTCCTTTCCCCTCCTCCCTGCTAACCTGAGGATGTTCAAAACTGCCACAAAGCAGCCGACCACTGTACCTTTCTGGTCCTAGAATTCGATGCCTTGAGTCCAAAGAATGCTTGAGATGACGTGGTGTCCCTGGGGGAGAAGGGAGAGGTAAAGCAGAGGTCAGCAGGTCCAGCCCACCCCTTGGAAGCTTCTGGACTGAGTGACTCCCTCAGCTCTGGGGGCTGACAAGGCTGCCAGGGTCCAAAATGTGTTTGTTCTTTTGATCCTTCTACTTCCATGCTCTTGTTCTTGCCCGTGTCTCTCTCTTTAGGCACATGAAATACCGTCACTTTATTACTGCATTTATTTATTACTGGAAAGCGTTGCCAGGTCCCTGGAATTGGGACTGTCTGCAAGAGTCTCCCTGCCCAGGGCCCACAGCAGGTGTTAGGTCTGAGATGACTCGGGTCCCCCTCCTTTGGGTGGGCTGTGCCCACCGCTCCTGCAGGATGGTCGTGGTAAATGGCATGGCTCCTGCTGTGGTTTGACTGTGTCCCCCAGAGTTCCCGTGTTGGAAACTTAATTCCCAATGCGCAGTGTTGACAGGTGGGACTGTTAAGAGGTGATTAGGTCAGGAGGGCCTGGCCCAGCCCTCATGAATGAATTACTGCTGTTGTCTAGGGAGCGAGTTCCTGATAAAGGATGGGTTGGGCCCCGCCTTCTCTCTTGAGCACGTGTACTCTCTTGCCCTTCTGCCCACCACCTGGAAGGATGCGGCAAGAAGGCCCTCCCCGGGTGCAGGCCCTTCGACCTTGGATTTCCCGGCCTCCAGAACCCTGAGTCAAACAAATCTCCGTTATTTATAAATCACTCTAAGTCTCAGGTGTCCTGTTACAGCAGCACAAAATGGACCAAGACAGCACAGAAGCCCGACGCCCTGGGTTTGTGTCCTGGCTCCACCCCCTGGCAGCTGTATGGTCTTGGGCCCGTCTCTGTGCAACAGAGATAATTATATCGAGCGCACCTGCTTGTTGGGAGGATTCAGAGAGTCTATGTTATCGAATCTAAAAAGTGCCCTCTAAATGTCAGCTAAAGGAGGAAGGGCAAGGACCTTGTTGTGTCAGCCTCTATTATCAGTGTCCCTTCTGGAGGGAGGTGAGGGGTTAATGTTACCACCCACCCTCAGCTCCCAGGCACTAGGTGGCCCCTGCATCAGGGCAGAGGGAAAACAGGAAGGAAGGCCTTTGCCCACTGAAAAGGGTGGCTAAGCTTCTCCCCACCCTCCCTTCGCCCAGCAGCCACAGGGAGCAGGTGGGGCAGGACTTTGGGCTGGCAGTTTGCAAGGGAAACAAAGGCCTCTTGTTACTTGCTTCTAGGTGCTCAGACAGCTGCGCCACAAGGGAGCCTGTGACCTGCCTCCCTTTGGTTTCCCAGGTTCCGCATAAGACCCTGGAGGAGCAGCCCAGAAAGAGGAGGGTTGACCCCTTTCCCCCTTGGATGGGCTAGTTGTCTACCCACATAATCCTGTAGCTCTTCCCCAAGAGCACAATGTGACCCCCTCTGGGAAGGAGCTAGGAAGGTGCTGCTCAGCCCAGGTTGCCTCTGAGAACCCCCAGGGAGTCTGAAAAACACCAATGCCCAGGCCCCACCTCTGGGATTCTGATCTGATTGACCTGGGGTGAGGTGTGGACATCGGTGCTTCCAATCCCCATCCCCCCATCCCCAAACCAGATGATTCCACCCTGCAGCCAGGCTTGGGAGGCTGATGGCAGAGAGTTGGGACAGGAGGGTAGAGCTGCAGGGGAGGTGATGGGGACCCCACCAATTCAGTTTTTCTGCCTTGAACCCCCAGCCTCAGGGAGGCTCGATGCATCTTCAGGGCATCACTTCTGCTCAGTGACTTCTTCCAGCCCCTGCCTCTCAGGAATCCGGAGCTTCCAGATACCTGCCTGCGGCTCCGGGAAGGGAGTCAGGAAGGGGCCAGCCCACACATGCCCCTCTGGGAAGTGTGATTAGCTGGAGGAGAAATAAGGACACTGTAGTGCATTTTTCATAAAACTAAATTTACTCAATTAAATTTAGATCATATCCCTAGTAATTTTTGGCCCTAAAGTGTCCCCTTTTTAAAAAAAACAAAATCAACAAAATAGCACCGGCAAGAGACAGTAACTGGCAGCCCCACGTGGATGACCCTCCCTGCTCTGTTAAAAACCTTTTTTTAAAAAAACAGTTCTAGAGATCCCCACATCTGGGAACCACTGGTCCAGGTTCTGCCCTGAGTAAAGCCTCAGACTGGATTCCACTCTCCAAACTGCAACAAGAGCACAAGAGCCCGGTCCTCCAGCTCTGCAGACCCCGTCCCAGCCGCCTTCCTTTCCAGGCCTGCGGTCCCTCACTGGGGAAGCTCACATGGCCTGCGGGCCCTGCCCAGAATGACATTGCTCTCCTGTACTAACTGTCCACCTGCTACAGCGAGGCTGTGTCCTGACCTACCCTGGCTGTGAGCTACAGTGCACACACCTGGCCAGAAGCAGGAGGACATGGCCAGGTTCTTGGGTCATACTAAATTTTGAAAAGACGAAAGATCTTAAAAAAAAAACCAAAAACCCAGCTATGTTCAGGTATACATGGGCATACAAGTACAATAAACCTATTATTTAAAGTTGTATTAGGTACCTTTAAAGGATGTTTACTTTGTGGGCTTTTAAAAAATTTGTAGGAAAATAAATTTACTTCTTACAGTTATGAAGGCTGAGAAGTCCAGGGTTGGGAGGCCACATCTTGGTGAGGGCCTTTTTGCTGGTGGGGACTCTCTGCAGAGTTCTGAGGTGGCACAGGGCATCACATGGCCAGGGCGATGGGAGTGCTAGCTCACGTCTCTCTTCCTTTTTCTTTTGTTTTTTTGTTTTTTGTTTTTTTTTTGAGGCAGCATCTCGCTCTGTAACCCAGGCTGGAGTGCAGTGGCCAGATCACAGTTCACTGCAGCCACAAACTCCTGGCCTCAAGTAATCCTTCTGCCTCAGCCTCTCAAGTAGCTAAGACTACAGGTGCACACCACCATGCCTGCCTAATTTTTAAATTTTTATTTTTTTCGTAGAGATGAGGATCTCACTATGTTGCTCAGGCTGGTCTTGAACTCCTGGCCTAAAGCAATCCTCCTGCCTCGTCCTCCCAAAGTGCTGGGATTACAGGCATGAGCCACTGTGCCCAGCCTCTCTTCCTCTTTTAAAAAATTATATTTAAATGACCCATAATAATTGTACATATTTACGGGGTACAGTGTGATATTTCAATACATGCATACAATGTGTAATGATCAAATCAGGCTCATCAGCACACCGATCACCTCAAGAAGTTATCATTCCTTTGCATTGGGATACTTTGTGTTTTTAAACATCTTTACATAACACTGACAGGATCCATTTTCTTTATGCCTTCAACCTTTTCCGTCCTTGTTATGCAATTTCTGACTGTGAGGAGATTTAGTAATTCAGGTATCACTTGCTAGGGCGGGCGCCCTTTGCTCTGAGATGACTGGGCCCCGAATCGTCGCAAGCTGTTTCATATTGCTTTACAACTTCGGATGTGTCCTCTGATTTCATTTCCTGAGCGCACATGCTAATTTTCTTTTCACCCCGTTATGCCTCCAGCAAGGTTTGGGGAGGAGCGCGCAGGTGGGGACGCCCAGGAAGGGAAAGGCTGGGCCCAGAGGCCTCTCCAGGAGGCTGTGGGCGCCTTTCCGGCCTCCCAAGCCCACGCTCCGTCCCGCACGGTGCTCTGGCGCGGGCTCCACCGTTTTGAGGCTGCTACCGCGACGGAAGCATCACCGGCCAAAGGCAGGCTCTCCGGTTTCTCCCCGTGGGCATTAATGAAAGCAAGGTGCCCAGGGCGAGCAGGAGGGAGCGCAGCGCAGGAGGCGCAAGGAGGGACTTGGCTGGAACTCCGACTCGGCCCCTGTTCCCCAGGGAGCCCACCTTGTCGCCAGCTCGCGCCCAGACGGAGCTTATCAGAATAACCAGCCGAGCGAAGCGAGGCTCGGAGAGAAGGGAGCGGGCGCGGGGAGCGCAGAGACCAGAGCGAGTGGGAAAGGCGACAGGCCACCGCCGGGCCGAGGATCCCCGCAAAGTTGAAAACGGGGAGAGTTGGGTCCCTGCCCAAAAGGTAGAGTGTGGAAAAAAGATGTGACGTTACCGGGGGACAGTTCCCGATAACAAAGGAACTTTTTATCGGACTCAGGAGACTCTGCTAAATTTCGACCGTAGAAAGTGTTTCTAATCAGGCCCAGAGGGAATTAACCAACCGCGGTGTTGGGAACAGGTCGCCAGGGCGCAGGGGGCGAGGTCCCTCTTGCACCCAGGCAGGGGCCGCGCGAAGTTAACCTGGGCGGCGGCTCTGGAGACAAAGGGCCACGGCCCGAGTCCCCTCTGTGGGCCATCCCAGAGGGGTGGACGCGGAGGGAGGGCTGAAGGCTGCGGGCGGCGCCTTCCCCGCGCCCTGCTCGCCCCCTGCGCTCTCCGGGTCAGCGCGCGGCAGCCCTACCTGGCTTCGGACCCGGGCTCCAGGTACCGCGGCACCGCCGAGGAGTACAGGGCGAAGAGGATCCCAGAGCAGGCAGCCGCGAGCAGGAGCAGCCGCCAGAAGAGCGGGCCGCGCCGGAGCCCCATGCAGCCTCCCGGGACCCGCCGTTGTCCCGGGCGGAGGGGAGAGGCCCGGGGAAGCCGTCTGGGCTCACAGAGGCGGCCTCCTGCCCCGCCCTGCCCTGCCCCGCCCAGCCCCGCCCCACCCCGGCCCCCGCGGCTCCTCCCGCCCTGCAGCTCCCTCTGCCCGGGCCCAGCCGCCAGACGCCACCGCACCCTCGGGCGCCGGGCAGCGGGTCCGGGAGGCTGGAGTGCGCCCCTGGCGCCCGGCACCGCGCGCGCGGGTCCGGCACTGCCTCCTGCCCCGGGGACTTCAACAGCGGCCACTCCTGCGCTCCCGCCAGCTCGGGACTGGGCAGGGCTCTTCCCCCGCACTATCAAGGGCTGGCGCGCACTGTCCGGGGGACAGGCCGGGCGCGGGGAGACGCCGCCACCTGCCGCGCTGGCTGCACACTGCGCGCTCGGCCCGGCTCCAGCTTCCCGTGGCCAGTGGGTTGTAGCCGTGAAGCGACATGCCCGGTTCCCCTGGAAAGGATCCTCAGACCTGTTAGTTTGGGCCCTGGAGCCTCCAGTCCTTCTAGAACTGGGGGCTTAATAAGGGACTGGTTCACCTGAATTGGAGGTGGAGGGTTGAGGTAGGGAGCCTGCGGTGATGGTACGCATTTGGGGAGCTGAGGCTGTCATCCCTTTATTTGGTGACCATCCAGACACCAGGTTGAGGGTCAGGCCCCTCAACCACATTTCATTCCTGTTACAAAATGAAGCTACCCAGGAGAGCACCGCAGCAGAGAGATCACCTGAAACGTCTAGCAGGGCTCCAGGGTCACCAGGAAGGGCTGGGAAGCTCAGGCACCCAGGCAGTGAGCAGGTCCCAAGCACCTAGGCACCCAGGCACCCAGGTCCAGGGTCTTTGGCCCCAGAAACCTGTGAAATGCCCCAGACCCCCGAGAGTCTGCAAGGATGAGAGGGACCTCATGCTTGTCCACGTGTCCACATGCTTTCTGCTCTTAACTCTTTTTGGGGGTTTTGTTTGTTTGTTTTTGAGGCAGGGTCTCACTCTTTTGCCTGGGGTTAAGTGCAGTAGCACCATCATAGCTCACTGCAACCCACCAGCACCTGGGCCCAAGTGATCTTGCTGCCTCATCCTCGGGAGCAGCTTGGACTACAGGCACACCACCACTCCCCGCTAAATTCATTTATTTATTTTTGTGGGGATGGGGTCTCGCTATTTTGCCCAGGCTGGTCTCAAACTCCTGGCCTGAAGTGATCCTCTCACCTCGGCCTCCCAAAGTGCTAGGATTACAGGCATGAGCCACTGCTTCTGGCCTCACCTGTTCTTCATGTATCCAAGAAAGTCTGGGTGCAGCCACAGGTATCTGTCCAATTGCAAGGCTTCCAGAAAAGCGTCCTGGGGCCTGTGCCTGTGGTCAGAAATGGGTCGTTCAGGTCATTCCCACTCAGTTTGTCTGCCTGGTCTGGTGTGGGCTGAGTCAAGGTCGCTGGAGGTCACTCAAATCGGCCCAGTCCTTTCCTTTACCCCAAGACTGGTGAGCAGTGAGTGGGACACGCTTGCTACCCTGCTAATGGGCATGACTTGGGATTATGGTTTTATTTGTCAAACTCCCTGTGGATGTGACTTATCCCTTGATCACCTTCTCACCTTTCCTCCGTGGTTAATAAAACCTCAGACCCTCTCTCTGAGCCCATAAATCCCCCTCTTACCCCTGCCTCTTAGGACTTTCCTCACTTTGTACTTCATGGAGACAAGGGGCATCATTAGCTAGTAATTTCTTTACCTTTCCGTCTTCAAACCTACGAAGTTGGCCCCCACCATAGCGCAGCCTCTGCTGCCTGGACTCCAGCCTTAGGGTGGAGGGGGTGCACTCCTCCTGCGTGGGAGTTGGTGATCCAGGTCCTCCTCCAACACTTCAAATGGCAATACCCTAGCACCCCAAAGCCTCTTATCTGCCCCCCTGGAGTTCTCCTTCCTCCCACCCCTCCGCTCTTGCTTTAGCAGCCATCCCCTCCGCCTCTGCAGGGGCCTTATCCCAGCGTATAAACATGCCCTCAAATAGCTTGTCCTAAAAAGCAAAGCAAAGCAAACAAAAACTCTGTTGAGCTGGCACGCTTCTTAGCTACTCTTTTTTCTTTTTATCCAAGTTCTTGGTGGGGAGAAATCTATTCTGTCTCCACTTCTGCCTGCGTCGCTTCCTTACCTACCGTGCCTCTGCAGCCAGTGAGCGTCGTCCTTCCCAACGGAGCTGGCGGTTTCCAGTTCCCATGCGGTTGCGTCCTCCTCTCTGACTTTGACGCTGAGCTCCTCACAGTCTCCAGCTGGGAACACTTTGCTCTCAACAGCCAGCTCTGTGTCGGTGACTCTGGAGTCAGCCTCTGGCTCGGGCTCAGGACTTCTCATCGGCCGCACACCCCTTCAGTTCTCTAAGGGCCACGCCTGGAGACTCGAGTTTCTTAGGGGCACCTCACCGTGAGGCCTCCATCTTCCCGTGGACCATTTCTTCTTCTGCATCCTCTCTCTCAAGGGCCGGCATCACATCCTCTGTCACCTTTGTGCCTCTCTTTCCTTCACGCCTCTCACCCCGCCCCACAAACGCTGGTTGTTCATCAAATGGTGGCCATTTTCTTTCCCAAATTAGCACATACATGACAGGAAGGCCACCTCTTTTTTATTTTTTAAATTTTTATTTATTTATTTTTTTTTTATTTCAGAATATTACAGGGGTACAAACGTTTAGGTTACATATATTGCCTTTGTACCACCCGAGTCAGGGCTACAAGCGTGCCCGTCCCCCAGCCAGTGCACATCGTACCCATAGGTGCAGGCCACCTCTTAATACTCTTAATATCTAAGAGTTTTGTTTTGTTTCTTAACTTTATTTATAAATTTACTTAGGCATTTCAATTCAACTTTAAAAAGAAATGGAGAAACACATTCTATGCACGCAACAAAATATCACATGTACCCCATAAATATGTACAAATATTACGTATCAGTAAAAAAAAGAAAAGAAATGAAGAAGAAACACAAGTGTTCATCAACAAATGAATGGATAAACAAAACATGGCATAGCCATACAATGGAATGTTCTTTAGCCTGAAATAGAAAGGGAATTCTGACACACGCTACAACATGGATGAACTTGGAGGTCATAACACTAAACAAAACAAGACAGTTGCAAAAAGACAAATATTGTATGTCAGGTACACTTACAGGATGTCCCTAGACTAGTCAGATTCATAGAGACAGAAAATAGAACGGTGGTTGCCATGGGCTGGGGAAAGCGTAAACGGAGAGCTGTTGTTTAATGAGTTTAGAGTTTCAGTTTTTGCAAGATGAAAAGGGTTCTGGAGATTGATTGCACAACAATGTGAATGTTCTTAACACTGCGGAACAGTACACTTAAAAATGGTTAAGAGGGAAAATTTTATGTTATGTGAATTTTCCATAATTTTTTAAATGCAAAAGAAAAAAAGAAATGGAGGAAAGATTGAATTTCTAGCAAACTGATTTTCCTCTCAGATCTTATTTATATGAATATGGACTCATTTTTGTTTGTCACTACAAACAGAATGAATTTTCTGGGGACAGAGCTATGGACGTATTTTCAGGTGGAGGATGATGCAATGGAGTGTGTGTGTATGTGTGCTGTAACTTGCTTACGTGTGAGCACACTGAATAGACTCAGAGCTAAATATTGCATAGTAGTCATCTGTCAACTATCTGTCAACTGTGCTTTTGGGCTCTTTGTTTCAAGTATTATACGAGTACAATGGTGAGATCGTAGCTCACTGCAACCTCCAACTCCTAGGCTCAAGTGATCCTCCTGCCTCAGCCTCCTGAGTAGCTGGGACTACAGGTGTGCAGCCACCACACCTGGCTAATATTAAAATTTTTTGTTGAGATGGGGCCTCACTATGTTGCACAGGCTGGTCTTGAACTCCTGGCTTCAAGCAATCCTCCCATCTTGGCCTCCCAGAGTACTGGGATTACAGGCCAGCCACCACACCCAGCCACGATTTTTTGATTAAACTTTTAATTTTGAGATAACTGTAGATTCGCATGCAGTTGTAAGAAATATAATAATATGGAGAGATGTCGTGTACCCTTTACCCGGTTTCCCCCAATGGTAACATCTTGAAAAAACAGATAATACAATATCACAACCACATTGTTGGCACAGCTAGGGTCACATAGAACATTTCCACCACCATGAGGCTCCCTCGCTTTGCCCTTTTATAGCCACAACCATTTTCCTTTTAACCCCACCTCTCTCCTCCGTCCTTAACCCCTGGCAACCACTAATCCATTCTTCACTTCTATAATTTTGTCATTGCGAGAATGTATGTAATCTTTTTGAATTGGCTTTTTTTCACTCAGCATAATTCTCTGGCAATTCATCCAAATTGTGTATATCAATAGTTCATTCATTTTTATTGCTGAATAGTAGTATTTGATGGTATGGATGTACCACAGTTTGTGTAGCCATTCACCTGTTGAAGGACGCTTAAGTTGTTTCCAGTTTGGGGTTATGAATAATAAAGCTGCTATAAACATCCTTATACAGGTTATTGTGTGAACATAAGTCTTATTTCTCTGGGATAAATGCCCGGGAGTGCAATTGCTAGGTTGTATGGTAGTTAGTTGCATCCTTAGTTTTTTAAAAGAAACTGCCAAATAGTTTTCCAGAGTGGTTGTGCCATTTTACATTCCCATCGGCAATGTATGAGTGATCTACTTTCTCCACATCCTCACCAGCATTTGGTGTTATCGTTCTTTTTTATTTTAACTATTTGGACACGTGTATGGTGGTATCTCATTGTGGTTTTTTTTTTT